CGTTCATGATGACGCTCGACACACACTCGCTTATGATGACGCTCGACACACACTCGTTCATGATGACGCTCGACACACACTCGCTGATGATGACGCTCGACACACACTCGTTTATGATGACGCTCGACACACACTCGCTCATGATGACGCTCGACACACACTCGTTCATGATGACGCTCGACACACACTCGCTCATGATGACGCTCGACACACACTCGTTCATGATGACGCTCGACACACACTCGCTCATGATGACGCTCGACACACACTCGCTCATGATGACGCTCGACACACACTCGTTCATGATGACGCTCGACACAGACTCGTTCATGATGACGCTCGACACACACTCGTTCATGATGACGCTCGGCACACACTCGTTCATGATGACGCTCGACACACACTCGTTCATGATGACGCTCGACACACACTCGTTCATGATGACGCTCGACACACACTCGTTATGATGACGCTCGACACACACTCGTTCATGATGACGCTCGACACACACTCGTTCATGATGACGCTCGACACACACTCGTTCATGATGACGCTCGACACACACTCGTTCATGATGATGCTCGACACACACTCGCTCATGATGACGCTCGACACACACTCGTTCATGATGACGCTCGACACACACTCGCTCATGATGACGCTCGACACACACTCGTTCATGATGACGCTCGACACACACTCGCTTATGATGACGCTCGACACACACTCGCTCATGATGACGCTCGACACACACTCGCTTATGATGACGCTTGACACACACTCGTTCATGATGACGCTCGACACACACTCGCTTATGATGACGCTCGACACACACTCGTTCATGATGACGCTCGACACACACTCGTTTATGATGACGCTCGACACACACTCGCTCATGATGACGCTCGACACACACTCGTTCATGATGACGCTCGACACACACTCGCTCATGATGACGCTCGACACACACTCGTTTATGATGACGCTCGACACACACTCGCTCATGATGACGCTCGACACACACTCGTTCATGATGACGCTCGCTCGACACACACTCGTTTATGATGACGCTCGACACACACTCGTTCATGATGACGCTCGACACACACTCGTTTATGATGACGCTCGACACACACTCGTTTATGATGACGCTCGCTCGACACACACTCGTTTATGATGACGCTCGACACACACTCGTTCATGATGACGCTCGACACACACTCGTTTATGATGACGCTCGACACACACTCGTTTATGATGACGCTCGACACACACTCGTTCATGATGACGCTCGACACACACTCGTTTATGATGACGCTCTACACACACTCGTTCATGATGACGCTCGACACACACTCGTTCATGATGACGCTCGACACACACTCGCTCATGATGACGCTCGACACACACTCGTTCATGATGACGCTCGACACACACTCGCTCATGATGACGCTCGACACACACTCGTTTATGATGACGCTCGACACACACTCGTTCATGATGACGCTCGACACACACTCGTTCATGATGACGCTCGACACACACTCGTTCATGATGACGCTCGACACACACTCGCTCATGATGACGCTCGACACACACTCGTTCATGATGACGCTCGACACACACTCGCTCATGATGACGCTCGACACACACTCGTTCATGATGACGCTCGACACACACTCGCTCATGATGACGCTCGACACACACTCGTTTATGATGACGCTCGACACACACTCGTTCATGATGACGCTCGACACACTCGTTCATGATGACGCTCGACACACACTCGTTCATGATGACGCTCGACACACACTCGCTCATGATGACGCTCGACACACACTCGTTCATGATGACGCTCGACACACACTCGCTCATGATGACGCTCGACACACACTCGTTCATGATGACGCTCGACACACACTCGCTCATGATGACGCTCGACACACACTCGTTCATGATGACGCTCGACACACACTCGCTCATGATGACGCTCGACACACACTCGCTTATGATGACGCTCGCTCGACACACTCGCTGATGATGACGCTCGACACACACTCGTTCATGATGACGCTCGACACACACTCGTTCATGATGACGCTCGACACACACTCGTTCATGATGACGCTCGACACACACTCGCTCATGATGACGCTCGACACACACTCGTTCATGATGACGCTCGACACACACTCGTTCATGATGACGCTCGACACACACTCGCTCATGATGACGCTCGACACACACTCGTTCATGATGACGCTCGACACACACTCGTTCATGATGACGCTCCACACACACTCGTTCATGATGACGCTCGACACACACTCGTTCATGATGACGCTCGACACACACTCGTTCATGATGACGCTCGACACACACTCGTTCATGATGACGCTCGACACACACTCGTTCATGATGACGCTCGACACACACTCGTTCATGATGACGCTCGACACACACTCGTTCATGATGACGCTCTACACACACTCGCTTATGATGACGCTCGACACACACTCGTTCATGATGACGCTCGACACACACTCGTTCATGATGACGCTCGACACACACTCGTTCATGATGACGCTCGACACACACTCGTTCATGATGACGCTCGACACACACTCGTTCATGATGACGCTCTACACACACTCGCTTATGATGACGCTCGACACACACTCGTTCATGATGACGCTCGACACACACTCGTTCATGATGACGCTCGACACACACTCGTTTATGATGACGCTCGACACACACTCGTTCATGATGACGCTCGACACACACTCGTTCATGATGACGCTCTACACACACTCGCTTATGATGACGCTCGACACACACTCGTTTATGATGACGCTCGACACACACTCGTTCATGATGACGCTCGACACACACTCGCTTATGATGACGCTCGACACACACTCGCTTATGATGACGCTCGACACACACTCGTTTATGATGACGCTCGACACACACTCGTTCATGATGACGCTCGACACACACTCGTTCATGATGACGCTCGACACACTCGCTGATGATGACGCTCGACACACACTCGCTTATGATGACGCTTGACACACACTCGTTCATGATGACGCTCGACACACACTCGTTCATGATGACGCTCGACACACACTCGTTCATGATGACGCTCGACACACACTCGTTCATGATGACGCTCGACACACACTCGCTCATGATGACGCTCGACACACACTCGTTCATGATGACGCTCGACACACACTCGCTTATGATGACGCTCGACACACACTCGCTTATGATGACGCTCGACACACACTCGCTTATGATGACGCTCGACACACACTCGTTTATGATGACGCTCGACACACACTCGTTCATGATGACGCTCGACACACACTCGTTCATGATGACGCTCGACACACACTCGCTCATGATGACGCTCGACACACACTCGCTGATGATGACGCTCGACACACACTCGTTCATGATGACGCTCGACACACACTCGCTCATGATGACGCTCGACACACACTCGCTGATGATGACGCTCGACACACACTCGTTCATGATGACGCTCGACACACACTCGTTCATGATGACGCTCGACACACACTCGTTCATGATGACGCTCGACACACACTCGCTCATGATGACGCTCGACACACACTCGTTCATGATGACGCTCGACACACACTCGCTCATGATGACGCTCGACACACACTCGCTCATGATGACGCTCGACACACACTCGTTCATGATGACGCTCGACACACACTCGTTCATGATGACGCTCGACACACACTCGCTTATGATGACGCTCGACACACACTCGTTCATGATGACGCTCGACACACACTCGTTCATGATGACGCTCGACACACACTCGTTCATGATGACGCTCGACACACACTCGTTCATGATGACGCTCGACACACACTCGTTCATGATGACGCTCGACACACACTCGTTCATGATGACGCTCGACACACACTCGTTCATGATGACGCTCGACACACACTCGTTCATGATGACGCTCTACACACACTCGCTTATGATGACGCTCGACACACACTCGTTTCATGATGACGCTCGACACACACTCGTTCATGATGACGCTCGACACACACTCGTTCATGATGACGCTCGACACACACTCGTTCATGATGACGCTCGACACACACTCGTTCATGATGACGCTCTACACACACTCGCTTATGATGACGCTCGACACACACTCGTTTATGATGACGCTCGACACACACTCGTTCATGATGACGCTCGACACACTCGTTTATGATGACGCTCGACACAGACTCGTTTATGATGACGCTCGACACACACTCGTTCATGATGACGCTCGACACACACTCGCTTATGATGACGCTCGACACACACTCGTTCATGATGACGCTCTACACACACTCGTTCATGATGACGCTCGACACACACTCGTTCATGATGACGCTCGACACACACTCGTTCATGATGACGCTCGACACACACTCGTTCATGATGACGCTCGACACACAGTCGTTTATGATGACGCTCGACACACACTCGTTCATGATGACGCTCGACACACACTCGCTTATGATGACGCTCGACACACACTCGCTCATGATGACGCTCGACACACACTCGTTCATGATGACGCTCGATACACACTCGTTCATGATGACGCTCGACACACACTCGTTTATGATGACGCTCGACACACACTCGCTTATGATGGAGGGAAACAGCCACATTAAAGCAACTCACAGTTTATTACTGATATTTATCAATTATACATTTTCCCAGGAAGAGATGAGAGTGATTCTGAGTTAGCGGTACCTTCTGCTTTGAGGATGTGAGAGATGTCCATGCCCTGATTGATTCTCAGTATCACGGTCCCTTGCTCGAAATCAAAGGCATCACTGCGGGGAGAAGAGAGCCCTCGTGTGAGAGCGAGACACACACACACACACACACACACACACACACACGTAGACAGACAGACAGGTGAATCAGAGAGACAGTTTGAGACACTCACTGCAGAATTCCAGCGTAGCTTTGGACTTCCTGTGGTTTAGTGGTTCTCCAATCACGCTTGAATCCCATCATCACTGTATTCGGCTTCATTCTGCCGAGTCCTGACGCCTATGCACACACACACACACACAACCATGCACACCCATACATATGCGCAAACACATGCACACACACAAACAGACACACATGCACACAAACACACACACACACACACACCCACACACATACATGCACACCCATAGATATGCGCAAACACACATGCACACACACACACATGCACACACACAAACACGCACACAAACACACATTCACACCCATACATATGCACAAACACACACATGCACAAACACACACACCCATACATATGCACACACACACACATGCACAAACACACACATATGCACACAGCCATACATATGCACACACACACACACATGCACAAACACACACATATGCACACAGCCATACATATGCACACACACACATGCACAAACACACACATATGCACACAGCCATACATATGCACACACACACATGCACAAACACACATGCACACCCATACATATGCACACACACACATGCACAAACACACATGCACACCCATACATATGCACACACACACATGCACAAACACACATGCACACCCATACATATGCACACACACACATGCACAAACACACACATATGCACACACCCATACATATGCACACGCACATGCAGACACACACATATGCACACACACACATGCACAAACACACACGCACACCCATACATATGCACACACATGCACAAACACACACATATGCACACACCCATACATATGCACACACACATGCACAAACACACACACACACACACACACATGCAAACACACCCATACATATGCACAAACACACCAATATATGCACACAAACAAACACACACATATGCACACACACATGCACACACACGTTTGTTTCACTATATTATTAAGGACATTGCATAGACATTTTCTATGGCCTGACCGAACCCCTTCCCCTAAACCTGCCCATCACAGAAAGTGTGTGTGTGTGTGTGTGTGTGTCTGACCTGCAGCAGTGCTTCTGCTCCGTCTCGCAGGTTCTCGCTGGCGACCGGTGTGTAGAAAGCTTTCCGCTTCTGCTTATGCAGCCACAGCTGGTTCTGCTGAACGACTGCACTGATGTCCTGCAGACTCTTGTCACGGGGACCCTAAAACACACACACACACACACACACACTGGTTTAGTTTCATGATCCGCTGCCTTAAAAACAGAATCCTGTGGGAAACCCTGATGTGTGTGTGACAGGGTTCGTACAAGGTGCTTAAAGTGCTTGAATTTGACGTTTTGAAATGTAAGTCCTGGAAAACATCCATATTTATGAAGAGGTGCTTGAATTATTGAAGGACAATATATGTGAAATTAGAGTTTAATGTTATCGATAAAACAATCTTTTCATGCGAGATTAACGCTGCAGCCCGTCTGATACAGATATAGAGGCATTTCTCATGACTATGAGCGTAATAATCCCTAATATCCAAGTATATGAAACAGCTTTCACTCTTCATGTCAATCATATGAGTAAAAAAAATCAGTTTGAATAAAGAAAGCGATATCTTTGTCAAAGCATCTTTTCGATGGTTATAGTTATATTAGTTTACATTGCATGTTCTGCACTTTATTTGCACCATTTTGTTGTATTAGTTTATTTTTATTTATCTATTTACCTTTTTTAGAATTTGAAAGATAATAAAGATATTGTTTAATAAGTGGGATCTCTGATTGTAGTCCTTGAAAACCCAAAAAAGTAGTGTTTTTGTGCATTATTGTCCTGTTATCTCTGTAAAGCTGCTTTGAAACACTCAGGATTGTAAAAAGCGCTGTATAAATAAATGTGACTTGACTTGAAAAGTCCTGGAATTTCATTTTACAGTGTAAACAACCGAAAAGTACGACCCCTGGTGGAGATGTATCTGTGTTTGTTTCGACAGGAACACCACTCACCATGAACACCTCACAGGTCAGACACAACCCATAGTTCTTCGTGAGTGAATGAGCCACGTCGAGCAGCGCCGGCCGGGTCCTGGGCGATCCGGTCATCACGAGGCACTTGGGTCTGACACAGGACAGGAGGAGTGAAACCGAGATCAGATCTGCGTCTAGCATGCGTGTGTGTGTGTGTGTGTGTGTGGGCCTGCGCGCACCTGAAGTTCTTGATGTGGTCGTCCACGCTGGATAAGGTGAGAGCGCTGTTCACGGCGTTCATGAAGGTCACGGCCTGAGTGGACGAGCCCCAGTTCACCTCTGGAGACGCAGAGACGTCAGACACCGCTCATGTGTGTGTCACACCGCTCATGTGTGTGTCACACCGCTCATGTGTGTGTCACACCGCTCTTGTGCAGGAGGGGCTTTCAACAGTGTGGGATCGGTACGATTTCTTATGTTTTTATGTTTTTAAAAGAAGGATCTTCTGCTCACCAACGCTGTGCTTATGTGATGAAAAAAACGTATTATTAAAATTTAAATCTACACTCACCGGCCACTTTATTAGGTACACCTGTCCAACTGCTCGTTAACACTTAGCACTTGCCACGAAGAATTGAGGCAGTTCTGAAGGCAAAAGGGGGTCCAACCCGTTACTAGCATGGGGTACCTAATAAAGTGGCCGGTGAGTGTATGTGTTTTCTATGTGAATATAGTAAAGTGTTATTTATGTCTTTGATCAAATCTGCATTATTTTCATTAAAAATACAGCAAAAATCACAAAATATTATTAGAATTTAAATCAGCTGTTCTCTATGTGAATATACAGTAAAGTGTAATTTATTCCTGAGATCAAAGCTGAATTTTCAGCATCATTACTCCAGTCTTCAGTGTCACATGATCCTTCAGAAATCACTCTAATATGAGGATCTGATGATCAAGAAACGGTTATGATTATTATCAGTGTTGAAAACAGTTATTTACATTTTATATTCAAGATTCTTTGATGAATAGAAAGTTCATAAGAGCAGCATTTATCTGAAATAGAAGCTTTTGTAACATTCAACATTTTGGGGTCAGTAAAAAAATTTATTTTATTTAGAAATAAATAAAGGGGGAAATAAATAAAATAAATCAATACATTTATTCATCAAGGATTAATTAAATTGATCAAAAGTGACAGTAAAGACATTTATAATGTTTCAAAAGCTTCTATTTCATAGAAATGCTGCTCTTATGAACTTTCTATTCATCAAAGAATTATGAAAATAAAAAGACACAATTGTTTTCAACACTGATAATAATCATAAATGTTTCTTGAGCATCAGATCCTCATATTAGAGTGATTTCTGAAGGATCATGTGACACTGAAGACTGGAGTAATGATGCTGAAAATTCACAGGAATAAATTACACTTTACTGTATATTCACATAGAAAACAGGGATTTTAAATTGTCATAATATTTAAAAATATTACCGTGTTATTACTTTTTGTATTTCTAATCAAATAAACGCAGCCTTGGTGAGCAGAAGAGACTTCTTTTAAAAAACTTACCGATCCCAAACTGTTGTATGTTCAGGTGTGTCTGCGTTCTTACCTGGCTTCTTCACAGTCACGTAAATATAGAGGAAGAACTCGATGCCGTATGTGACGAGCGCCGCCCACCAGTTAATCACGAACATCACGGCACAGCACAGCACGGCTCCGAACAGAGACAGCCACATGTTATAGTACTTATACGCCGGCCTCCAGCCTGCACACACACCAGAGTTTCACACACAGGACGAGTTTACTGAGTCTACACACTTTAGGCGCGTTTCCATTACAGATTTGCGCAAAACTTTTGCGATGTTTTCTAAATATCGATAAAAAACTATTGCGAAATGACGGCGTTTCCATTCACCGATGTTATGCGACTAAAACGTCATTTTTTCTTCTCATGATAATCATTCCAAAGATCGTGGCGACGGACGTTGGGAGGTTTATATAAAGGTGAAACTCAAAAAATGAGAATATCGTGCAAAAGTGGTTCAGTAATTCAACTTAAAAGCTGAAACTAATATATTATATAGACTTATTACATGCAAAGTGAGATATTTCAAGCCTTTATTTGTTATAATTGTGATGATTATGGCTTACAGCTTATGAAAACCTTTTCACAATATTCTAATTTTGACTTTGGGGTTTTCATAAGCTGTAAGCCATAATCATCACAATTACAACAAATAAAGGCTTGAAATATCTCACTTTGCATGTAATGAGTCTATATAATATATTAGTTTCAGCTTTTAAGTTGAATTACTGAAATAAATGAAGTTTTGCACCATATTCTCATTTTTTGAGTCTCACCTGTCAGAGCCGCCACACAAGACATTATTATTATTAATGGAGGAGACGTGTGTGTGTGTGTGTGTGTGTGTTATCCAGCATTAATAGCAGGGAAAGACTCGTATACTGTGAGCGGCTCATATGAGGAGTGTCTCTGTGTTTCTCCCTCATGAATTGATCATGGCGTTTCTTTGAGGTTTAGAATCCAGTATTCCTGTAATTCTTTTGTCTTTTATGAATTTAATAAAGAACTCTGTCTCGTTTTCGGTCCAAACACACCGCATCATCTACGTCAGGTGACTGTAAATGCGCAAAAACCTGTTTCCATTGCAGTTTTGTGAAATATTCCTTTTTCGAATCGCCTGAAAAACCTCCTCATGCGAGCGTAACTTTTTTGCGATAAACTGGAGTTTTTGCGAAATTGACGTGTTTCCGTTGTGCGTATTTTCAATTTGCGCAATTTGAAGGGTAATGGAAACGCGGCTTTTGTTAGTTTAGTGTATGTTGATTTAAGAATGTTTATATAAGTGTAGGGATGCAGGATATATCGGCCACTAGGGATGGCCCGATACCGATACTGGCATCGGGGATCGGGCCGATACTGTCCTCATATACTCGTACTCGTACTCATAAAAATTCCCCGATACCACGCACCGATACCACGTAGCTACATTTTGCAAAACGAAACTGGCCGCCGCGAGTGCTTTGTCGAGGTGAACTGAGGCATAGGAAAGTATAATGTCGGCGGTTTGGGCTCATTTCAAGATAAGGGATGATGACAACAGCAAGGCAGACTGTAAGTTATGTTCAGCTAAGGTGTCGAGAGGAGGGAAAGAAAGTACATCGTTTAACACCAGCAATCTAATTAAACATCTGAAGACGCATCATAGATCTGATGGCCGAGCGCGGGCGCGGGCGGTAATGCACTCACTCTGTGTGTGCGGGTTACGGGAGAATAAAACGATTCGCGGGACTCCCGCAAACTAGAAATATCTATAAATAAAACATAAAAACGAATAGATTTTTATTCATCTCTTGCAGAAAAGCAACAAGAACAACTACAACAAAATAGAAACGATTTACAGGCCAGAGTTTCTATTCATAACATGGTTACAGCGTTGAGCGATGTAGCCAATCACAGACATATGTGTTGATTTCTGGAACGCAATGGCGAATCAGAAGCATTTAAGATAGACTCCCCTTACCGCTCAAAACGGACTATTTGTTCAGAGCTGAATTCTGTATGCTGGCAAATCCTCTAATTATAACAAACAAATTGTGGATATTATGAAAGATTCATTGTGCAGTCAGCTTCATTGATAATAACAGAGTTGTGTGAGATCGCGAGGAACTGTCAGCTTTTTAGGATTTAACGGAGCAGCATTCAGTCATGCCAGACCATGCACGCAGTAGCCTGCTTGCTTTTATGTTAAATTAACAGTGGTTTGTGTGTTAATACATTTATTATTTTACAAATTTTTATTTATTTTTAGACTGGCAGAGAAGAAAATAAAAACAGTCTTCTAACCTGTGTTCTAAAATAGTCGTCTTCTTCTCTGGGAGCCTATTACTTTTGCGGTAGAAATATCGGTATACTATCGGTACTCGGTATCGGCAAGTACACAAATGTAAATACTCGTACTCGTATCGGTTTGAAAAAAAAAATGGTATCGGGCCATCCCTATCGGCCACCATATCGGTATCGGCCCATATATGTTCATTTTTTTATGTTAGTGTTATCGGTTTGATAGGTAAATGTGGCCGATATATTAAAGCTGATAAATGATTGATTATTTCCTTCAGCTGAGACGCTTCAGCTGCGCACTTGTTCAACATGATGGATTTGAAATGCTTATGATTGAATCACTTAAACAAAGGAAAATATGGTTCAGTGCGACACGAGTCTGTCATATCGGCTTCATAAAATCATAATGAGAACATTATAATCGTGTGTTTGGGACATGGCTTTTAATGGGGAGACTTTTGTTTTTGTAATCAGGCTCTCAAAAATTCAATAAAAATTTGGATTTAGATTTATCAGCATCGGTTATCGGCTTTCAAATACAAAGAGTTATCGGTTATCGGACAACATTTTTATAATCAATGCATCTCTAGATATTTGTACTGGAAAACATTATTTTTTGCAGGGCTCACTGGGTTGTGGAAGAGAGCGTGTGTGTGTGTGTGTGTGTGACAGGACCTGGGGATTTGGCGTATGAGGCGTGGAAGCAGGAATAGTTGATGAGGGCGTATGAAGCCAGGAAGAAGTTGGAGATGACGGGAGCGATGGTGTTGAGCTCAGCTGAGAAACAAACACCCACCGTCACATGATCACTCCTGTCACATGATCACTCCTGCCACATCAAATCCTTTAACCACTGATACTCACCGATGAGGATGAACGCTACAGCGATGACGAAGGTCAGGAGGTATCCTCTGATTGGCTCGTTGTTTTTCCCGTGACCTTTGGCGAAGAACTTGAGGGCCGTGTAGATGTTGTCTTTGCACAGAGCCTGAGTCGAGACAGATTCACTATTAATGTCCAGATTAGGCAAGTGAAAAGTAGAATAAAGGCCCGTTCACACTGAGGACGATAACTATAATGATAAAGATATCGTTCTAAATGTAAAAGAATAGCAGAGTCCACACTGCAATGATAACGAATATAGTTAAAATCACTTTCAATGATTTTTTTTCAGCTGATAACTGAAAAAACATTGATAGCCAATCAGAATCCATCTTGCTTTAAAGAGCTTGAGTATTTAAAGCGCCAGACGACAAAACTGCAGTGCACTTATAATAACAGAACGTTATCGTCAGCTGGTGTGGACTCTAATATAGTTATCATTTTTGGTGTGAAAATCCAGCGTTTAATGTTGTTTATGTGTCTATGTGGTGTGTTTAATACGCTTTAAGACACACCATGTGTAAGTTCATAAGTCGACAGCATTGCTGAGTATTTTCTGCTTAAAACTGCAGTGAACCAAAGACAGTCTCAAAAACACGGTTTGAAATCGCTGGTGTTTCTGACGTCACAAACGACCTTGTAACCAATCAGATCAACGTGTGATCGTCAACCAGTGGATCTCTGAGCTGAGGGAGTGAGTGGAGGCGGGGCTCATTTGCATATTCAGAGAACCGCACATACTAAATGAGGCGAGGGTGTCGAGTTACCTTCAAGATATTTTAAGGCATGAAGAATTTTGTTCAAGGAAAAAACGTTTAAATATGTAAATTTGGTGATTAAGATGAGTTTTAAGTAGAGCCCGACTGATATGGATAGATAATAGGTAATCTTGTCACGGAGGCGCCGGCGCGTGAACTGCAACTCGTCTCATAAATTAACCAAAACTCAGCAGAAATATATCTATATTAAAATGTCTACTTTTAAACAGAACAATTCAAAACGAAAGACAGATTGCTCTCTGTCTGCTGTAATCCGTATGAAATGTGCATTTCTCTCTGGCGTGTTCACTGAAGATCGCGAGTCAGCGTTGTCAACTTTGCAGCGACACTGACTGAAAACACTTGTTTATTAATAAAAAATTAAAATGTCTCCTTGCTATATTTGATGTATTCACAATCATTACTTTTGCCAGTTCTTTGTGACAGCATTTATGTGCTTTATTGGCAGCGCCACCCTTACATGAATCACCGCACCAGCATTTTTTTTAAAATATTAATTTATCAGCCATTATAAATGCTGATACCGATAGTTAGGAAAATGCCTAATATCGGCGCGCTAATATATCGGTCGGCTCTAGTTTTAACCCCTTAAGTGTCACCGGCCCACCGGTGGGCCCAAATCCATTACATTTTTAAAACAGTAATATCCTATACTAAACCTAAACTAATCTTGACAAACTATAAATCATTTGAAAGCTTACAATCTCTAGTTTCCATATTTGGTGATTCATTTTCAAAATAAATTACAGAGGAGCCGTAATTTATCAATTTGCAACAAGAATATTTTCATACTCTTAAGGCGTGTTTAGACGTTTATTTTGAAATAGTGTTGAACATGAAAAATCATGAAAGAAGGGTAGAAACCTCAGTTTGTTTTCATGCCAAGAGTTCAAAAGATAGCATCCATTCAATTATTTTAGAAAAAAGGTCTGATTTTTTTTTTAAATATAAAGGGAAAAAAATGATAGATTCACCATTTGTTGCAGGAAGCTATAACGCACATGCGTGTTCTTTTTATGTGTTCCTTAGAGGTTGAATTCATATCAAAATCTGCCAAACTTCTCATATTACTTCTGAATAGGATGTCTACTTCATAAATTGTATGAAAATTGTGGAAATAATGGTTCATATCACTCAAAACACATGGAAATGGAGGCGCTCTTATATGGGCAGTAATGGAGTCTGGTTGTCATCTAGTGAAAAAGTTCGGTACTGCGCCCAAACAAAATCTTACTGAAAGCTCATTTTTTGAGATATCAACCTAAAATTTGAAACACAACTTGTTCAGATTTTTGGCTTTGATTCTTCTGCAGTTTTAGAGTCGCCCAGGTTTTGAAAATATATGTTTTATATAAAATAAGAATAATTACATTTTTTACATTGTACATTTTCATAAACTCAAACTTCTATAACTTTTTTTCTGTTTCACTTTCTCAATTTATTTCACTTCTACAAAAATCTGCTAAATGTCTTCTTTAAAACAAGATCAATCTTACGTCTATATTCCAAAGCATTCTTGAATTACAACCATTTAAGTTCGAAATGTGCATTTTCATGTATGTTCAAAAAAAAGGGGGTGACAAGATAAAATGATTGACTACAGGGGGACGTTACGGCTACATCTACTTTAATCTGGATACATTTGAAAATGCATCTTTTTCCTCTACATTTTGGCCTTCTGTCCACACTAAGATGGCTTTTATGTCTCTCCAAAGTGGATACATTTAATGTAACAACGAAATGTAAAATGTAAAAAAAACTAAAACAAATGTCAAAACTAAAGTATTTGAAAACAATGACACGTGTTTAGTCATATGACGCATATTTACCTATATGCTTGTCTGTTTATACTGGCATGTGCAGTTTACTTTCATAATAAGTTACTTGGTACAACTTTCATATTACATTTGTGCAAAGATGACAGAAAATGTACCGGTACTTGTAATTGCAGCGTCAAAACTTGTAGATCATGTAGATCATGTAGATCATGTAGATCATGTAGATCATGTAGATCATGTAGATCATGTAGCCTGAGAGATTTTTAAGAGCTTCTTTACGACATCATCCAGTCTTTTACCGTTTACTGAGTTTTATATAGTATTGTAAGATCGTCCTATAAATGTCTATAACTGATCAGGCATATATTGGGTTAAAAGTTTGCATGAACTAAAAGTTGTGCTCTTCTTTTCTCCTCTATTGTGTCATATGTCTGAGTGAACACTTGTGGAACAAGAACACATGTGGGCGGGGCTTGATTGTGTCCGTGCGGAATTGATTGGAGGGTTGTGGTTTGCTATTGGCTGATCTCGTGTGAGTGACAGGTTATAGCCCCGCCCTCGTCACCAGAGAAGAGAAGAGATGCTGCTGTTATTCTGATTCAAGATTCCTCATCCTTTGGAAGTGCATCAAAGTGGATTTGCTTTGTCAGCAGAAAACAGCGTCTTCTCGACGCGAACAACACGAGGGCGGGGCTAAGAGATACTGTTCAGCCAATCAACACCACAGGTGGGCATTATGTAAATTAGTCACACATCTGCATAGTTTCAGCAGGAAGTGAGACTGAATTAATGACGACTCGTTTCATCTAAGAATCACTTCTTTCTTTTAGGAAACAAAAACTCCATTTATATGCATTGATCTTTGAAACTTTGCAGAGCTTTTACATTTGCAAACAGCTTTAATACACACTTGATAGTATTACAGGCACTTTAAATAGTGTGTGTGTGATCTCTGACCTGGAAGACTTTGGGCGCGCTCACTAGAGACGCAAGAGCTGAGGAGAGCGTGGCTGAAAACGTTCCTGCCGTGATGAGCGGTCCAAACCCAGACACTAGAGTCATGACCTACACAAACACACACCGGTGAGTCTCACTGTGAAAGGGATAGTTCACCCAAATTGAAAATTAGTCCATGATTTACTCTCCCGTAAGTCATCCTAGTGTATATGACTTTCTTCTTTCAGACGAACACAATCAGAGTTATATTAAAAAATGTCCTGGCTCTTCCAAGCTTTATAATGGCAGTGGATGGGTGTATATCCGGCAGACGGCCGTACACACCGGTTTACGGAGACAGACTAACCCTTGAACCCAAACGCAAGAGGCGTCTAAACTTGCGCTACTCCTACATCCGTCATACATCGTCAAGTGTTACTCTTTTGGCGTAAGGCGACTGGTGTAGGCCGTCTGCCGGAAGCTAGGTATTTTGGTCGATAAAGTGTTAAATATGGATATATATTTTTAAACGAATGTATCGCTTCACTTCAGAAGGCCTTTATTAACCCGCCGTGTGGATCACTTTATGATGGATAGATGCACTTTTATGATGGATAGATGCACTTTTATTATGGATAGATGCACTTTTATGATGGATAGATGCACTTTTATCATGGATAGATGCACTTTTATGATGGATAGATGCACTTTTATGATGGATAGATGCACTTTTATCATGGACAGATGCACTTTTATGATGGATAGATGCACTTTTATGATGGATAGATGCACTTTTATCATGGATAGATGCACTTTTATGATGGATAGATGCACTTTTATCATGGATAGATGCACTTTTATGATGGATAGATGCACTTTTATCATGGATAGATGCACTTTTATGATGATTAGATGCACTTTTATCATGGATAGATGCACTTTTATGATGGATAGATGCACTTTTATGATGGATAGATGCACTTTTATTATGGATAGATGCACTTTTATGATGGATAGATGCACTTTTATCATGGATAGATGCACTTTTATGATGGATAGATGCACTTTTATGATGGATAGATGCACTTTTATCATGGACAGATGCACTTTTATGATGGATAGATGCACTTTTATGATGGATAGATGCACTTTTATCATGGATAGATGCACTTTTATGATGGATAGATGCACTTTTATCATGGATAGATGCACTTTTATGATGGATAGATGCACTTTTATCATGGATAGATGCACTTTTATGATGATTAGATGCACTTTTATCATGGATAGATGCACTTTTATCATGGATAGATGCACTTTTATGATGGATAGATGCACTTTTATGATGGATAGATGCACTTTTATCATGGATAGATGCACTTTTATGATGATTAGATGCACTTTTATCATGGATAGATGCACTTTTATGATGGATAGATGCACTTTTATCATGGATAGATGCACTTTTATCATGGATAGATGCACTTTTATCATGGATAGATGCACTTTTATGATGTATAGATGCACTTTTATGATGATAGATGCACTTTTATCATGGATAGATGCACTTTTATGATGGATAGATGCACTTTTATCATGGATAGATGCACTTTTATGATGGATAGATGCACTTTTATCATGGATGGATGCACTTTTATCATGGATGGATGCGCTTTGATGGACTTCCAAAAAAATATACCCATTCAGTCCCATTATGAAGCTTGAAAGAGCCAGGACATTTTTTAATATAACTCTGATTGTATTCGTCTGAAAGAAGAACGTCATATACACCTAGGATGACTTGAGGGAGAGTAAATCATGGGCTAATTTTCAATTTTGTGTGAACTATCCCTTTAAGAACATGTACAGCTCCAAAAACTAGCAACACACTGTTTAACTGTATTTCTGATTTATTCCCTCAGATGTTTATGACTCCCACCTGGAAGTTGTTCATGAGGCCGTAGTTGCATTTGCTGGTCTGGCAGATTGAGAAGTCGTAGCCCAGATCACAAGCCGAAGAGAAGTTGCAGCTCGAACCCACTAGAAGAGTGTCGTTGCGGCTCCCCGTCGCATCTCGAACTACAGTGACGGCTGTCGAGAATCAGTGCAATCGCTGTGTTAGACGTCCAGACTGAGACTGGAGAGAGTCATTTCAAGTGTGCGTTCAGGACTCACAAACAACTAGTGCGACGGCCAGGTAGGTTATTCCTGTGATGAAGATGGCCAGAAGCGTTCCTTTGGGAAGGGCAGCCTGAGGATCCTGGAAAATCAGAGGTGAATGTGTGTGAAAAATGTTGAACCAGCATATGATTTAACTGCACAGCCATGCACGATATATCGGCCACCATATCAGTATCGGCCCATATATGTTCATTTTAATGTTATCGTTATCGGCCTGATAAGAAAATGTGGCCGATATATTCAAGCCGATAAATAATGGATTATCTCCTTCAGCTTAGACGCTTCAGATGCGCACTGTTCAACATGATGGTTTTGAAATGCTTGAAATATGATTGAAATCACTTCAAATAAGAAAATGCATTTAAGTGCAACATGTGCAGTGCAAGTCTGTCATTTAGCCTACATAAAATTATAATTAGAACATTATAATTGTGTGCTTCATGGCTTTTACTGGTGAGAATGTTTGTAAAAATTTAAATTTAGATTTATTAGCCAATATATCGGTTATCGGCTTTCAAATATACATAATTATCGGTTATCGGTATCAGCTAAATTTGAAATTATAATTGGAACATTTTAATTGTGTGCTTCTTGGCTTTTAATGCTGAGACTTTTTTTTTGCAATCAGGCTCTCAAAAAAATATATAAACATTTGAATTTAGATTTATCGGCCAATGTATCGGTTATCGGCTTTCAAATATACATAATTATCGGTTATCGGTATCAGCTAAATTTGAAATTATAATTAGAACATTATAATTGTGTGCTTCATGGCTTTTACTCTTACTCGGCTTTCAAATATAACGAGTTATCGGTATCGGCCAAATTTTGATATCGGTGCATCCCTAATTTCAGATTATAAATGTACCAGACACTCGCTCTTACTCTCAGATCTCCAGAGATGTTGGCTCCAGCCAGGATCCCAGTGGCTGCTGGGAAAAAGATGGCAAAAACAGAGAAGAACGTTTCTCCATCCCGGAATTCCGGTAGAAAGTTTTCCTTTGCGATGGATTCTGTTTTCAGAAAGAGTTAGACTGATACTTTAGGCCTCAGATGTGACTGTTTATTCCTAAAATGTCATGCACAAATGCCGGCGTTACTTGCATGACGTTCCTCTGTCTCACCTCTATAGTTGAAGAAGCCTTTGGACCGCTTGTCTAGTGTGGAGGGAATCACTGTTCCCACAAATACATTGCCAATGGCCAACAGCAGGATCACCAACAGAGCGACCTGAGCCTGTAGAGAGAGAGAAGCTTCTTCTTCATCCTTCCCTCTCGGGTCAAAATGACCCGAAGCCCTAACATTAAACTTTTTTTCTTTTTTTTTTCAGAAAGCTTATTTTATTTCATTTTGATAATATTTGATCTATTTTTAATGCTTTTTTAAAAAGATTATTTTATTTACTTTTAAATTACTAGATTTGATCAATAAATAATAAATAAAGAGTAATTTAAGCACATTCCTCACATTCTTTCAACTTAAATTCAAAATAACTCACAATTTCATGCATAACCCTTTTAATTCAGCTCTAAATATCCTACATTGAGTGTCTCTGACCTCTTGTGGAAATAAATAATAACACATGATATTTGATGCCTCTAGATGGGCTTATAGCTCTATATGGAGCAGAGGGGCTGATCCGCTGGGTCCTAAAGCCCATTCAGATACACAGGTACACATTATAAAATTATTTTTTGGTAAAGTTTTAGCATTTTTAGTTTGAATTTTGAGCATGTTTAGGTTTCTCTATGTGAACTGAAGCATTCCTCGCATTCCTAAAGGGGTCAGATCGACCCGAGAGGGAAGGGTGTGTTACTTTTTTCAATTTCAAACACAAAACTCCTCGAATCCATTCAATTTTTCTTGTGTCTATTCGTGGTGCTTAGAGTCTTGGACCCCTCTGATGAACACTCAATTTTGTATAAAATTTCACAATTATTTTCCGGGTCAAAAATGACCTGAATCCCAGAAAATCCCATGACCTGAATCCCTAAACCTCAATCCCAGCATGCATCTGGCTTACCTTTGCCTCCCACTCCATGCCGGCCACAGTGATGCTCATCAGCAGAACCACCGTTATACAGCCGATGATCCTGATGTCATTCATTGGATCCATTATAAGCGCGTTATTTTCCTGTAAAGAGCAGATAGACGTGTTGAACTTCCATGAGGGTTTATGCATCCAAACACAACCAGCTGGCGACCATGTGATCCTGTCGAGTCCAGTCAGCTTTATTTCTACAGCGCTTCTTACAGCACAGAGTGTTTCAGAGACGCTTTACAGAGATAACAGGACAATAATGCAACAGAGTTTGTTTCCAGAAGAGAATAGCGTCACAGTCCAGCTTAAGTCAGTTCAGTGATGGTTCATTTCTGCTGTAAAAAAGTTATTAATTTAGTTCATTTATATATATATATATTTATAGCGGCTCTGGAGAAAACCGTGATGTCATCGTCCAGCTCAGTTCAGTTCTCATATAATGCTGTCAGTGCAGGAGATCAATAATATTGCTGGATAATAATGGTGGTGTGTTTGTACCTTGAGTATCTCCACCACAGTTTCCGCAAACCCGACGACATACATGGCCACGGCCACGGCGTTGGCGAACGCAAAGATCAGGCCGATGGATCCACCAAACTCAGGGCCCAGACTGCGGGAGATCAGGTAATACGCCCCGCCTGGAGACACACACACACTCATCACCCTCACCACACTAATGTAAGCGAATACACTGCTAAATATAATGCCAAATATTACATTATACATTCCCATATATGGGAAACTAGTGCTTATATTTTTCCATATACTGCAATATATGCATTGACCATGTATGGCTGTATATTAATACATAAATGAAGACAAAAATAGCATTACTTGTAATATTCACACAGTTTTATCCTTTATTGTGTACATATATTGCACATACATGCTCCCATATAAATGTGAACACATATACACACACAGTTACAGCAGATTTCTAGTTCCCAGCATGCTTTGCTTGCCATGCATGCTTTCTAAACTTGCATGTATTATGATATATTAGTAAATATATTTTCACATATTTGTCAATATATGAAAAGTGGCAATTCCTTGTGTATTATTCAATATATTGCAATATATTAACACTATATTCTACATATTTTAAAATATACTGTTAAACCATTTAATATATTGATCATTCATACAGGTGATACTCGAAAAATTTGAATATCGTGCAAAAGTTCATTTATTTCAGTAATTCAACTTAAAAGGTGAAACTAATATATTATATAGACTCATTACATGCAAAGTGAGATATTTCAAGCCTTTATTTGTTATATTTTTGATGATTATGGCTTGAAAACCTTTCCACAATATTCTAATAATTGGGGTTTTCATAAGCTGTAAGCCATAATCATCAAAATTATAACAAATAAAGGCTTGAAATATCTCACTTTGCATGTAATGAGTCTATATAATATATTAGTTTCACCTTTTAAGTTGAATTACTGAAATAAATGAACTTTTGCACCATATTCTAATTTTTCGAGTTCCACCTGTATATAGGGAAAAATCTTTTTTTTTTTCATAAAAAGCCACTTTTCATTTAAAGTGTGAAGTTTTACCTCCTCGTACGACACCGTTGGTGCAGATCGCTGACATGGACAGACACGTGACGCTGGTCACCACTATGCTCAACAACACCACCACTATTCCCAGACCTGAAACACACACACACACACACACACACACACACACACATTATGTCAGGTAACGTGAAATAATAACTTTTTATTCATGATATGTGATGATTTAATATAACTGCACTGCAAAAATTAATATTCTTGTTTTCAAGTTTGAATGTCAAAACTTGTAGTAATTTACTGAAGCACAAATGCATTATAATTAAGAGAGTTTAAGTTTAAAACAAGAACAAATATCCACCAATGGAATCAAAAAAAAAAAAAGATAAATTTTTCTGACCCCATTGACAGATATCTGTTCGTGTTTTAAGCACAAACTCACTTAATTTTGCTAAACAAGACATAAATACTGAGAAAGAACTTTATTTTTTCACATCCAGAATAGATCAGATAACATTTCAGTGGAGAATTACTTAAATTAACATATATTTGTTCTTGTTTTAAGCACAAACTCCTCATTTTGATGCATTTTTTCAGAAAACAAGACTTAATTTAGCTGATTTAAGAATGTTTCGATATTTCTGCAGGATAAAAAAGACACACAAAAAAAACTGAGAAAGAAATTTCAGTGGATAACAAACTTCAATCTGTTTCTTTTGTGTTCCACAGGAATAAGAAAGTCAGGTTTGGAAAGACGTGACGGTGAGTAAATGACTGAATTAATACTCACGTTTTCACTGTTTACAGTATATAAACACACATACGCTTGTTTGACTATATCAGTGAGCTCATCTCATAAACTTAGATTGTGTTTCAATCCGGTTCCTAAGATTTTCAATCTCCTAACCCGACGTGTGTGTGAGTGTGTGTGTGTGTGTGTGTGTGTGTGTGTGTGTGTGTGTGTGTGTGTGTGTGTGTGTGTGTGTGTGTGTGTGTGTGCGTGCGTGTGTGTGTGTTCAGCGCTATAACGGGATCATTGAGGACTAAAGGCGCTCATGGCCTGCGGTCTCACACACCTCATAAAGCACGTCCCGGCGGTGAGTTTCTGATGTAATGTGTTTGGCCTGAAGCTGGAGGTGTCTGACTGGAACTGAACTTCTCAGAACCGCCTGAACTCTCACAGAAACTCAAACCTCTTATGCGCTGTTAGTTACCCACCATTAAACACCGGCGGTGACCTTCAGTGCTTTCCACACCGAAACACTTCGGTTCGCTTTCACAAGACAACTGATGTAACTTTAGTGAAACTGTGCTCTGATTGGTCAGTTCCATGTGCATCATCCATCGAGATGGATCGAAGTTCTCTCCGCGAGCTTAACGTGGCTTTATTTGTAGCTGTCGAGACACACAAACACTCACACCAATGTATGTATGTCAGGGCGATGCGTAAACGAACTAAGGGAGAAAACACACCAGATTCGGAAACAAACGCTCCAAATGAAACTCTGAACATTCAGCACCACCAAGTGTAAAAATGTTTTCTTGGTAATGCAAATGTAGAGGTAAAACAAACATTAGGACGAAAACAAAAAATGATATATAAAAAAGTATATTTTTGTCTTGTTTCCAGTCCAAATATCTAAAAATTCTTATATCAAGAAGCATTTACTTGAGAAGTAAAATGACATAAGAAATTATATCTCGTTTTCTGGGGAATAAAATGAAAATAAAAACAAGCATAATCATCTGCCAATGGGGCAAGAAAAATAATCACATGGGAAACAAGAATATTTTTCTGACCCCATTGGCAGATCATTATGGAAGCTTGTTTCCGCCACAGAATAAATAATAAAAAAAGGTAATTGAGACTTTTTATCTGACAATTGCATGTTTATATCTCGCAATTCTGACTTTGTAACACGCAGTTGTGAGATAAAAAGTCGCAAATATCTTTTAAAATGTTTTATTCTGTGGCGGAAACAAGCTCCCATAGATCATTTTGCTTGTTTTAAGCAAAAACTCACTTCATTTCGATGTTTCTTTTTCAGAAAACAACATATAATTTCTTATGTCATTTTGCTTCTCTAGTCAATGCTTCCTGATTTGAAAATGTTTTGATATTTGGACTGGAAACAAGACAAAAATATTAAGTAAGAAAAGCACTTTTGCAGTGAAGACCAAATAACTTTGAACTAACGTTCTATTAACGTTCTGTTCCTGGAAGAAGGTTCTGAGAATAGCCGGGATGTTCCTCACACTGAGAAGAACGTGTTGATTTTGAAGAGTGTGTGTTCTGAGAGTGTGTGTTCTGTGCTGAATGTAAATGTGTTCAGGGACGGTTTGTAAACACATCTCACCTATTCCTGCTTGTCCGAACACCCAGGACAGTCGGATGAACAGCATGACCCCCCAGATATTCAGCATGCATCTCACCTGCCGACACACCGCACCATCAGACACAGCGGTTTCTCATCACATGATCGTTTCTAGAGCTGCTCAGTACAGGGGAAACTCCTGCAAACGTTCATTTATTTCACTAATTCAACTTAAAAGGTGAAACTAATATATTATATAGACTCGTTACATGCAAAGTGAGATATTTCAAGCCTTTATTTGTTATATTTTTGATGATTATGGCTTGAAAACCTTTCCACAATATTCTAATAATAGGGGTTTTCAAAAGCTGTAAGCCATAATCATCAACATTATAACAAATAAAGGCTTGAAATATCTCACTTTGCATGTAATGAGTCTATATAATATATTAGTTTCATCTTTTAAGTTGAATTACTGAAATAAATGAACTTTTGCACCATATTCTAATTTTTCGAGTTTCACCTGTATATCGAAATTATTGAAATATCACAAATGTATACGTTTGTAATATAATGTGCATTTCCATCACAGGTTTGGTCTTAAATTTAAGTCAAAGTGGCATTAAAAGTCTTAAAAAGTCTTAATTTAACTTGTTTACATCTGGGGACACTCTGGAGATGTTTTCTTGTCACAAAAATGTAGGTTATGTAATTTTAAATATATTTGAAAGATAATTTAAGTTTATTTTACACACTTTAAGCATTATCGCATCGCATATCGAGTATCGCATTATTAAACGAGTTATCGCACATCGCACTTTTCTTCAATCTGGTTAGTGGACGCACCAGAACTCCTTTGATCCAGCCGAACTTCACGAGTCCTGCGGTGTCTTTGTCGTCGAGCGGCACGACGGACTCCACGTCCCCCAGCGCCGACCCATCCGCCTCGTCTCCGTCCGGCACCGCACTGGGAACACTCAGGCCTCCATTCTGCCCAGAAACAGGGAGTTACAGTCACACACACTGGGGGAATCATCTGAGCACACAGCCGAGCCAAGTGTGTTCAGACTCCTTCAGCACTTCTCACATTATCACGGTTTATACTTGGTAATAAAACATGACAAGAGTTATTAAATCAGTGGATATTTGACTGGTTTTGTCCGTCCTTCTGTTAGACTCTCACACATGAATTATGTTGAATATCTGTCAGCTGTTAAATTGAACTACACACTTAGATAATACCAGTTTAGCTCAACCAGTGACCAAGCAATGCTTCATGTTGTTCAGTCTGTGTGTAAAAAGAGCATTAGCAATTACAGAAAACACACTGAAGAAAACATGATCAGCTCAAAGTGGCCGGATAATATTTGCTCCCAAATGTCACTGGATGAAGAATATTTGGGTGTAATATGTCTCAGTTTACTTTATTTTGCTCTCCTCACTTACATAAATGAACTATAGTGTCCTGATCACACTAGTAAAACATATTATGTCTGAATAAAGTTTGGTTCGACTGTATATGCAGCTCTTATGAGCTGAACATGTAATACTTGCACTTTAATACTGCGAAAAAGCTGTTTTCTCTTTGAATTAAGATTATATTTCTCACTTCATTGGCCATTTTGTTTTGTTTTAAGCACAAACTCTCTTCATTTTGATCATAAACAAGACCTGACATCTTCAGTGATTCTGCTTCTCCAGTAAATGCATCTTGAT